CTAGGTATATACCCAAGAGATATGAGAACCTAATGTCCACAAAAAACTTGTATACAAATGTTTATAGTAGCATCATTCATTATAGCCAAAAAGTGAAAACAACCCAAATATCCATCACTTGATGATTGGATAAACAAAATGTATACTTATATAATAGAATATTATTCGGGAATAAAAAGGAATGAAATACTGATACATGCTGTAACATGAATAAACTTTGAAAACGTTATGCTAACTGAACGAAGGTAGATGCAAAGACCACATGTTGTATTATTCAGTTTATATGAAAAGTTCAGAATAGATAAAACTATACAGACAGAAAGCAGATTAGTAGCTGGGGTGGGGGCCGGGGGCAAGAATGGGGAGTGACTGCTGATGGGTATGGTGCTTGTTTCGGGAGTGATGAAAATGTTCTAAAATTAGATTGTGATATGGTTACACAACTCTGTGCATACACAAAAAAGCATTGCATTGAACATGTTAAATGGGTGAATATCATGGGATTTGAATTATATTTCTGTAAAGATCCTACAAATATTCATAGGAGTGGTAAATAGTAAATTTAGGATAGTGGAGAACAAGGGAAGAGGTGGGGCTGGTACTCATTTGGCTTTATTCTATAATATTTTATTCCTTAATGATAAAAAATCTGTTAAGATGTTACAAAAATGAGTTATGACAACCCAATATTCTCTAACTTTTTTTGGTATATTTGTAGAATTTTTTTAATAAAAGAGATAACCAGAAACAAAATTAAGTACATACCCACCCACCTCTTTCAGCTAGAAAGCATTAGGGGTTTGCCTTTTCCCCTAATAATTGGAGACTTTGATTCCAGAAGAGATTCTCTCTAAATGAAATATTGAATTAGGGCTCCTACGTTGACTGTTGTTTGCTTTTTCTGATATCAATTATAATATTTTATGTCTGAAATCAGAGTTTTAGTGAGCCAGTTTTATCATTTTATTAGTTGGTTTTTGACAAAAATTCTTTGTGATTAAAAGTTACCATTAAGTTCTGGTTAAAATCAGATAATTTTGCCTTTGCTAAAAACTTAGCAAAGTAGCTCACCTGCAACTCTGCTTGCTCAATTAAGGGGAAAAGAGCTCTTTGGACAGCTGCTGTTCCTAATTCTGAGTCTGGGTCTAGTGGGAATCCGTTAATTTGCATGTGAACCTTTATCATGAACTCTCCCTACACAGATTAAAAGATTCTCTTGGGGACAGAGAGTGTACCTGTAGGCCAGGAGGCTCATTCCTGAATCCAACGTGCCCATTGCTTCTCTTTGTTCAAGTAGCAGAAATGCCTTTCCTGTCTTGGGGTAGAATGTTGGGAAATTGCCCGTACTGACAAGCCCTTCTCAGATAGGAGGAGCTCATAGTCATAACAAAAACATTTTTTTCCCAGAATATTGTTTCATGTTTCTCCCACTCAGGGCCATGGCTGTCATTAGGGCGGGAAAATGACCTCAGGGCCTTGAGATTTGTACATCAGAGTGTTAATAACAAGTGATGCTGAAGCTGATTTGGGGTGAGTTGCACTATAGTTGTGGCAGCATTCAAATACAGTTGAAATACAGTTGCCCTGTAGAGTTCAGGTTAAGTAAAAGTTCTTTCTTTTAACTCTAGAGCCTGTAAACATAAGAGCGATTGGAATAGTTTAAACAAAATCAAAGGATGAAAAAATGTGCGGAGCCAGAAGTTTATGTGGGGGAGTAGAAATTGGCGCACAAAGGCTGGATTGTGACTAGATGTTGGTTTTCAAATTGTGGTCCCTGCATCAGCATTACATGGGAACTTGCTGGAAATAGAAATTCTTGGGTCCCAACCCAGATATACTGAATCAAAACCTCAGGGAATGGGTCCAGATATCTGTGTTTTAACAAGCCCTCCAGGTGGTACTGATCTGTGGCTAAAGTTTGAGAACCACTGGACTAAATTATGTTGCCTTTTCAATGCCAGGTGAGTAAGCTTGAACTTTCTCTCACAGGCAATGGAAATTTGTGGAAGATTTGTGAGCAGAGTTATGGAATGTTTGGTGTTTTAGTTAGATAGTGGAGCCTTCTGCCTTATTTTTCTAGCAAAGGACTTTTAGTTTTGGGAAGTATAAAAATGCCACACTATCTAGCAATCTGATTTGATCCATACATTTCAGAAGGGTATATTAGTTTGTAGTTTCTTATAATTAAATGTGAGAGTTGTTTAACGATATAATAGAACTTTTGAAGTTTCAAGCTTGTGATTTTTATTCACTATAAATTATAGAATGATGCTTTCTTTTGTATGCCATTTTATTCCCCAAACTTAAAACATTTGCAGATTTAATAGGGCCTAGGTGTACTCTTAAATCCTGAAGATATTATCCAAATAATTTTAGAAAATGGCTGAGTTCATTTTCTAGGTCACTTTTCTGTGTAATGTTTTCCCAAGTATGTTTTGTATTTTAAATGATTTCATTTTTTTCTCTTAATCTTGTAATGTATCAGTAACATGTGATGTGTTGGCATCTTCTGGAATAACACATTTGTTCCAAGTGAAAAGGACTAGGTTCAGAAAATGTAGTCAGCCAAGAAATTTACCAACAGAAACCTATATTGAATCTAAAACTAATGTGCTCACATTTTCCATCAGAATTAAAATGGAATGAAGCCAAGAACACACTATGAGAAGGTTGCTGGTCTCTGCCCTGCATGAATGCATCAACTAAATATGTCATTTAGTCCTGTAGATAATAGACAACATGTTGAAAAGATCTTTGAAACCTGTAAGTCTGAGATGGGACTGACTGCACAAAATCTGATTATATTACCCCCTCCTTAAGAAGAATCATTTAAGATTTAAGAATCACTAGAATGATTTTATGTTACTTCCCGATGGTCTTATTTTTAAGTTTAAACAGAAAGTTGGTATTAAAATGCAATAGGCATTTTTACTCTTTAACGATCTAATCCTATAAAATATCCTAGAGCATATTAGACTTAGATCTTGTCCAAGAGTTAACTAACTGTTTGGGAAAAGGCAGCAGCCTTTTCTGATGGGAATCAGAAGAACTGAATTTCAATTGTTGTCCTGCTACTAAATACTTATGTGACTTGGGATGTAACCTTTAATGTCTCAGAGGATGAAGCTATATATTAAAATATTGAAATAGTTCATATGGAAAGTTGGTTTGGGGCATAGACATTGTATCTTTAAAATAAACATATAATGACTTGGAGAAACCATTCATTAATTCCTTCATTTATCATATTTTTATTATACACCTAATATCGTCCAATGTTGTAGTATGGATGGGAGGCAGACAAATATAAAGAATACTTTGGGAACGGATAGGTATGTATCTGACTTAAAAGGAGGTATCAACTGAGTTGGCAACTAAAGGCTGATAAGGAGTTATCTGGGCAAAGAAAGGAAGTAAACGAGTTCCGGATAGAGGGGCCAACGTAAGCAAAATCCCAGAGAGATCTGAGAGAGCGTGGTACAGCCAGAGGACTGCAGAGTTGGAGGTGAGGGGTAGTGAGTGGCTAATTTGAGGTTGTAAGCAGGGGACAGAAAATGAAGGTGTGTGTGGACCCAGGCTAGGAAGCACATACTTTTTCCAATGAGTTGCATAGATCCATGACTGGCTTTTAAGGAGGAAGTAACGTAATCATATTTCCCACTGCCTTCTCTTTCAGTTAATGGCAGTTCCATCCTTGTAGTTAGTTAGAACAAAACCCTCGGTATTATCCTTAGCTCTTCTTTATCACTCACGTAGTACATATAGTCCATTAGAAAATTATTTCAGCACTATCTATACTGGTCACCCATGTGCACCACTGCAGAATCCTCTTGGAACTACTCCTCACTGCTATCACAGCTGCAGCAACCAGTTCCATGAAGACATTGCGCTGCTTTGTGAAGATGGAATTGGATACTTTCTTACCTTTCAGCCTCCTGCCCTGCAACCTCCTTGATGTAGCACTTGGGACTGTGGCAGGAACTAGTCTGTACTCATGCACAGCTTGCAAGGAAGAGGCAGATAACTGCCCTTACTTCTGTCTGGAACACTCTTCTACTTCATAGCTCACTCTTTTTACCTTTCCTTTCTCAAATATGACTTCTACAGTGAGAAAATTCTGACTATCCTCTTTAAAATAACAACCACTCCCATCCCCCTTCCCTGTTTTATTTCTCTCAATAGCGCTTAGCATAATTAATATGCTTTCGTGTTGATTTTCATTGCTATCTCTTTTCCTCCAGTAACTGTAAGCTTTGTCAGGGCAGGGAATTGTGTCTCTCTCTTTCCACTGCTACATCCTGGGTCTAGAACAGAGCCTGGTACCTGGTAGGTGCCCAATAAATAATTGTTGAGTTAAGCAAGTGAAGGAATGCTTATTTTAGAACATGTAATTCCGGGTGTAGTGTAAAGATGGTTAAAGGGAAGTAGGGCCAGAAGGCAGAGGTTAGGAGCCTGTTGTAGGCAACCAGGTAAGAAGTAATGGGGACCACATTTAGCACCTTTTAACAGCATCAGTGGAGAATTGAGGAAGGATTACAGAAAAATTTAGAAGACTGAAGTGATTGTGTTGTTGATGGTTTGGGTATAATGGATATGAGGAGGCAGACATCGAGGAATGCTCTCAGGTTTCTGGCTCTGGCAGCTGGGTGGATGATGATTATGCCCTTCAGAGAGACTGAAGAAGGAGCAGAATTAGAAAGGAAAGGGATAGGGTGGAGCGGCTTCGGGAAGAAGGAAGAAGAACTTCAGATTTAAATATGTTGAGCTTGATGTATTAGCAAGACCTCTTAGCATGAAATGAAAGAGCCCCAGTAGTTGGTTGAATGTACAGGACTAGAGCTCCGGAAGGGGCACCCGGGGGCTGACTTAGTGCCTAGTAACGGAGTTGCGCCTTGAGGTAGGCTGATGACCTTACAAAAATCAAACGAGGTAAAACCATATATTACTCTGTGTTCCTATACGAGCATAGGAGTTCTTAACTGTTATCAGCATTTGTTTCCTAGACTATTAAAAAAAAAAGAAATAGAAACCTTGACAAAGAGAAAAGAAAAAAAAAACTATCTCCTTGATTAATTTTCGTTGGTACATTTTGAAAGAGTGAAAAAGGCATTTATCTTAGGATGAAGTGTCTAAGTACCTCTAGAGTACAAAGAATTTACCTTTAGCTTGTTCTGGCTAGCCTCAAACTCTATATTTTACTTCCACAGCCATCTTCTTTTATTGAAAACATGTTGAAGTAGTTTCTTTTTCCTTTAGTCACCGGAAACGAGTAAGTTCTTTAGTAAGACATCCCCAGAATGCATGTAATGAAAAATGTCTAAATGTTTCAAGTAAGATTTCTGATATATATATATATATCTGTTAAGTAGTATAAATTTTAAGTGGTTGTGTTATTCACTAACATATTTTTCATGTATGTTGAAGCTTAGATTTTTGCCGATAGCTTTCATACCTCTGGTGATTTTTGTTACCTTATTTAGTAGAGAAGAGTTGAGCATCTTGAACTGGTCTTCAACTTAGAAATTTATTAAACATTTTGATTTCTCAAGGGGGCAACGCTGTTGGAAAAGATTGCTATTTACAGATCTGTGCCAAATAGAGGATAGAGGTGGGAAAGATATTACCTAAGGAAATTTATAGAAATGAAAACAAAATCACTCTGTCTGAGCTGTGATCATCTCATAGTTGGTGGTGCACTTTAGCATTGGGTGAAATCTTTGACTTGTTATTTGAATTTAATCCTTGCTGTTTAATCTCATGGTGACACTTTGCATTACACTAATAAGGTGTTAGTGATCTCATACTCTTAGCTTGTGTTGGATACTCAATAGGGCACAGAAGCACTGGGGGCTACACTGCCTGAACTGGTATCTATAGAGCATGAATCCTGAATACATACACAGTATTTAAGCTATATTGTTGACAGTAAACTATAATTCTTTATTAGGTGGAAGAAATTCTGATAACCACAATTCAAGGGCCCATGATAGTTGAGATTTAATTAAAAGAACCTTTTATATTTACTTAAAAGAAGCCTGGATATTTAAGGAAACTTTGAAAACTAAGAATAACTGTAGTAGAGCTCTCCATAGAAACAGAACCAGTAGGATATATTTATATTGTATATATATTATTATAATATATATAAACACATAATCATTACAAGGAACTGGCTCACGTGATAATGGAGGCTGACGAGTGCCAAGCTCTGCAGTCTCCCAGCTGGAGACCCCGTGGAGCGAACGGTGTGCTTCCAGCCTGAAAGCAGGGGGCTTGAGGCCCAGGAAGACCTGATGTTTCAGTCTGAGTCCAAAGTCAGGAAGAAACCCAGTGTTCCAGCTTGAAGGCTGTCAGGCAGGAGGAATTACTCTTATGTGTGCGAGAGTCAGCCTTTTTGTCCTAGTCAGGCCTTGAACCGATTGGATGAGGCCGCTCACCTTAGGGAGGTCAATCTGCTTGACTCAGACTATCAATTTAAATGTTAAACTCATCCAGAAACACCCGCATAGAAACACCAGAATGTTTCCCGAAATGTCTGGGTACCTGAGACCCAGTCAGTCAGGTGGGCATATAAAATTAACCATCACAATAACCTCTTTTAAATCTGTTCACATTCATTCAATCAATAAACATTTTACGCATAGCTCTGGGTTCAACAGAGGGTCAGACAGTTTGAGTATTCTAAAGTAGAAGTAGAAGACAGGTGTCAGATAACCTTTAATAAAGATCAAAATCAAGTTTTATAAAATAAAGAAAAAATATAGGTTTTTCGTGGTTGCATTCTTCATTCACCAATACGTTCTTCATGTATGTTGAAGGTAACTACATGGGGCTAAAATTGAGTTTCTTACTTTGAACGTCAAATTATTAAATGGACATTAAGAAAACCATATACTTCCTTTTTCTCTTTTCTTCCTTTTTTTTGTTTATATCACAATACATATTCACCTGGAAGGTGGTAGCATTATCATGAAGTAATGAATCAATAAAAACTTAGTCTGTTTAAAAAAAAATCATTACTATATCTAGTGGATACCACAAAAATAATTTCTTCAGCATTTTGTGCCCTGAGTTGCATTATTCTATTCTTGCATCACATTTGTGGCCCACTATTTTATGACATGTGTTTCTGAATTCAGGTGGTGTAAAATGTCTCTGTGTTTACTGGACATGGTAGGTAAACAAAGTTTTGATTTTATTTTTTACTTGAAAAAGCATGAACGTCCTTATAAACATAGCATAATTATTTAGCCACAAGGCATAGCTTATTAAATAGTCATTACAGACGTGCCCCCTCTCTCTGTCCCACCCCTACCCAGTCCCATCCAGACTTTAGCAAGTGAGAAATAGAAAGCAATTAAGGAAATGACTTTAAGACTTTGATAAGTGTATTTGGATTATTCAGACATTTTAGAGCCAAATAAAAAACAAAAATTATCTGATTAATCTTTTTTTAATTTAAAAATTTAAAAAGATTTCAGTGATTTAAGAGTTCTGAATTTGACTCGTATTGGAAATTATAGAAGTAGGGACTCCATTAAATAAATATACTCATTTTCTCAATTTAATATGTCTCTTATTTCCTTCAAATTTGACTGATATATCTCTTATTTCTATTTGCATGATAATAACAAGGTAGCTACTTTCACAATTTAGAGACTTTATGGAGGTACCTTTATAGATACCTGTATTTTTATCTCTCTTGACTGGGGAAAACAAAAGTGCTAAGAGCCAAGGGGGAAAAAATCATTTCTGTACATCTGGAAATAGCAAAGGTATTTTTTTTTTTTTTTTTTTTACTTTTTGGTCTCACTTTTTGTTTTTTTAAAAAATTTTTTGTTTATTGCAGTAACATTGGTTTATAACATTGTATAAATTTCAGGTGTACATGATTATACTTCTATTTCTGCATAGATTACATCGTGTTCACCACCCAAATACTAATTACAACCCATCACCACACACATGTGCCAAATTATCCCTTTCGCCCTCCTCCCTCCCCCCTTCCCCTCTGGTAACCACCAATCCAATCTCTGTCTCTATGTGTTTGTTTGTTGTTGTTATTATCTACTACTTAATGAAGGAAATCATACAGTATTTGACCTTCTCCCTCTGACTCATTTCACTTTGCATAGTACCCTCAATGTCCATCCATGTTGTCACAAATGGCTGGATTTCATCGTTTCTTATGGCTCAGTAGTATTCCATTGTGTATATATACCACATCTTCTTTATCCATTCGTCCCTTGATGGGCCCTTAGGTTGCTTCCAAGTCTTGGCTATTGTGAATAACGCTGCAATGAACACAGGGGTGCATGTACCTTTACAAATTGGTGTTTTCACGTTCTTTGGATAAATACCCAGCAGTGGAATAGCTGGATCGTATGGTAGTTCTATCCTTGATTTTTTGAGGAATCTCCATACTGTTTTCCATAGTGGCTGCACCAGTTTGCACTCCCACCAGCAGTGTATGAGTTCCCTTCTCGCCACATCCTCTCCAACATATGTTTCCTGTCTTGTTAATTATAGCCATTCTGATGGGCGTGAGGTGATATCTCGTTGTAGTTTTGATTTGCATTTCCCTGATAGTTAATGATTTTGAACATCTTTTCATGTGTTAGCAAAGGTATTTTTATCTCTTTTACAGGTGACTGTTTCAGCCTGGTTCAGTAAATCAGCTGTGGTGGGCTTTGGAGAGATTTGTTCTCAGTGAGTTAATACTTGACTTGCTGGGCCGTTTGCATTTGCTAGGCTGACCTTGGAACATCGGCATTGCTATGATATCTGGTGGGCATCTCCCCGCTTTGGGCAACTAGGAAACATTGGCGGCTGTAGCTTCTTTAGGAGAAGTCTGTCTGTGTGATAACATTTCCTGACTGCTGTGGAGGATTGATGTGAAATGCAACACTTTGGTAATTGCTACCTTTGAAGACTCAAATCCATTGTGAAAACCTTTTTTTTATGAACAAGGCTTGTGGCACTTTCATAATAGCTGGGCCTGCCCTGTTGATGTAGATCAAAATCATTCCTCCCAGCATCATAACCATTGTACTGTTCACTGGTGCAGAAGGCATTGCAAAGAGTGGGTGGCATGTTTTGGATCATTCAGAATTGGATGAGTGATAGAAATGAAAATATCACCAACAGAGGTGATACTGTGAGAACTTATGAAGGCAGAAATAGAAGTATTTTCACACTAAGAATTTTCTTAAATGTTCTAATGATATGAACCATTCGGATAACATCTAATATAAAACTGAATGTTTACAATTCCGCTTAGTCTTTCTTCATGCCTACTCCACTTTGAGTCTTAACTGTTTTTCTCTTTTAGCTTTTAGGGAGAGGAAACACAACTTCTCTTAATGTTTAATGAATATTTATGAAGTTCTTTGACAATTAAGGACTCATTAAAATTCACTTGCAAAGAAAAGAGAGAAACACACTTTTAAGACCAAAGCAGAATATGGTGGCAAGTAGAAACTCACACCTTTTACCTTGTTGTGAATTGTCAAGTCAGAAACACTCTGCAAATGAACTAAGATTCTTTTGAAAATGATTATATGTGATAGTTTGAATATTGTAGACATATCTGATTATTAAATGGTGACCTTGACTTTGCATTGATTATTGTCTTGATAAGTGTTTTTTTTCTGAAGATACTTGGAAATCCTGCCTCTTTATGGCATATCGTTATGGGTAGGAGATCTGGCTTTGGAGTCAGACTTTCTGTATTTAAATTTCAGGTTCAACTCTTGGTAGCTTTGTAACCTTGAGCAAGTTCTCAGTGTCTTGGTTTGTGTATTGTATATGGGGGACTCATAAGCTTTTTGGAAGAAGCAACTGAGTTAATACACAAAAAACACTCAGACTGGTGCCTGACACACTGGTTTTCTCTGCCTTGAGAAATATTTCTTTCAAGTTACACTTGTTTGGCTCTTGTTAGGGCCCTTTGGAAAGGTCTTTCTTTTCCCCTGGCTGAGGTGGTGCAAAGGAGTAGTAGTGAATCCTTACTTCTGATGGGTAACATTTTAGCTTCCTTTTTTATTTCAATTTTTCTCCATTCTTTCTTCCCAGGACCCCAAGGCTCTCTGTTCTGCCACTTCCAGCTCTCTTGCACTGCAGCGCTTCTCTTGGTCCAGATATGACATACAGAATATAGGAATGCCTAAATAGATATTCAGTCACTTTCAAAAGCACAGTCTTTTGTGAATGAGAAATGGCTAAAGTTGACAAGGTATTTTGAGGCTAGAGCAGTTGTATCATTTTTGCCATTGCTCCATGTAAATCGTTGTTATTTGGTAATGGAAATGAAATACGTGGACATGAAATC